TAACGAAATTAATTGATTGTCAATGTGTCAATACATATCCTTTTATAAAAGAGTTAATTAATCTGTTAAAAACATTTTAATAGATTAACATACTTAGACACACTAACGTAATCTTAAAGTGATTTACATATATAAATTCTTTTGTTACTCACCAAGTCTTTAGAGCCACGCTTTGTATTCATCAAATCACTACAACAATCAATTTTTCTTGATAACAAAAACTTCCATTTACATAGCTAAGTTTCAGTCTAAAGGAGAAAGAAAAAAGAACTTGAAATTCTTTAGACAATCCAATCTAAAGTTATGTTTTTAGTTAAATCCTTAGCACATTGGTTCTTTAAATCAAGAAACAACTCATGATTTCCTTATCCTCTTTGGACCAAGTTAATTTAAGACATATGTGAAGAAATTAAAATCAACCATTACACTTATAAAAGTTACATATATGCATGAAAAGTCTTCATATTTTTCTTCTACTTTAAAAATCATCCACTTATATATATACTTTTAGGACTCTGAGTAATTTTAACAAAATAATAAATACGCTAGTATGACTATTATAATTTTTTATATTAATTATATAAAAAGCCAATATTAAATGTATTTTTGAACAAGAAAAAAGAAATATGCACTTATAATAAACTATCTTATCGGTTAATTAAAAAAATTAAAATGAGATAACTTATCAATTTTTATAAGAGTTAAGATAAAATGATATATTGAACAGTCTACTTATACTGATCACCAATGTGAGATAGCTTATCAATTTTTATAACAACTATTTAAAAGTTACATTAAATACAATTCTTAAAGGAAAAATAATAATAATATATTATCATTTATTGCCCAATCCAAAAATTGAGTAATAAATTTATTACTTTTTAATATTATTTTAAAAAATACATTAAATATTATTTTACAAATTTACATAATTTTTTTTACTAATAATATATTTTTTCTTGTGTTAATAAAATTTATTTTTAAAATAATACAATAAAAGAAATTAATTTAATTGATTTTGTTGAATTTTTAAAATAATAATATCATATTTAGTCTAATTATTAATATTTTATTTTTTAATTATTGTATCAGTAAATATCCCATATTGATAATGTTAATAGAAACTAAAAATAATAATTAATATTCATAAAATTATAAAATATCTTATAAAAACTGAAAATCGCCATATTTCTTCAAGCTATAGCTTAGGTTAAATTAATAATTACATCTTATACTGTAAATTGAAAGGAAAATGGTTGAAAATATTAGATACCAAACACTCCTGGCATTAAAAGGTTGACATTTGGTTCATGGGCCACATTTTACACACGTGGCAGAGTTCTGATTCATCTTGAACTCAACACCAGGACTTCAAAGTGGAAAACAAGAAACAGAGAAGGGAAAAAAGGAAGAAAGAAAGAAGGTAGTCTCTCCCGTCTAAGTTTGCTTTCGCTTCTCTCTTTGGGAGTTAAAAGGAAAAATAGAGGAAAAGGGAAAAAACCCAAATTCCGGCCAAGAAAATTAATAGCAAAGGTTTGAAATTTTTTATATCGGTCCATCTTTTCTGCCTTATAAAAGGGTTTGAGGAACAGTTTCATTTGAAAAATGCACACTCTGTGAATAGGGTCTCATCATTAACCTGTCTATCCCTTTTCTTCTGCTTGTTCTCTTCTCTTCTATTACTTTTATGTTTGTTTCCGGAGAATAACGTAATTGGGATTTTGGTTTTCACACAAAAGGTTTTAATTTTAGAGGTAAAATGGAAGGGAATAAGCAAAAGGGTATGTCTTTGTCCTTCACTTCTGAGTTCTTTGGGTCCATCAAAGAGTCTCACCTTCCTCCTCCTTCTTCCGCTGTTGGGATTTTTGGGTCCATTTTTTCCCCTTTATCGTCCAAGACCAAGGTGTGATTTTCATTTCAGCACCTTTCTGTTTTGACTCTTCTGCTTTTTAGTTGTTGGTCAAATCAGTCCCTATGCTTTTCTTTTTTCTGCATTTCATGGTAAAGTTTATGATTGGTTTATGTTATGTTTTTGGCTGTAGTGTTAAAACTGAGTTTTCTCTCAGGACATATCTTTCACTGAGTTTATTTTAACTCTTGAAATTCTTTCTCAGTTTGAACAAGAAACCTGATCACTCAATGAGCCTTTCCACCTGAATGATTGAATTTAGCTTTAGAAATACTTGATTGGATCATTGAATTGGCTTGAATCATATATCATGCTCATGTTCGTTGCATATTTGAGTCATGCTGAAAAGGCTATAAGATTTCTTTTGGGATTTGTTTGGTTATATTTCAGGTGTTGGGGAGAGAATCTCTGCTGTCTGAATTGAGTCGCAAAATTGCCAATGAAACTCGGAACTCCAAAATTGGTATTCAGATCAACCCTGGTTTTTACAGATTTGGTCATTTCGTATAAATTCTTGGTGACTTTTCAAGAGACAATTTTGAAATAACGTATAATCTCATGATGGTATATTTCTTGTTAGCATTATTTTCCAATTTTCCGAAACTTTCCACATTTTCCCTGTGCTAAATTGTCTACTCCCTTAGTGGGTATTGATCCGATTCCACTAGCCAACATCCTTTTATCCTGACAGCTAATTATTTTTATATTTAGAATGATCATAAAAAAAAATCTATTTGTAGATTTATTATTAAGTTTTGTACCATTGAATTTATCTTGGTAAGATTTTGCATACATTGAATGTGATATATGGTACGTACCTAAATCTATAGCACCTACTTTTTAATGGTGTTTCTTTTCAATTTTTTTCTTTTTCCCAAAGTTGGTATGCCTTATCCTTCCAATCAATGCAGATCACTACTCCAAGGGCAGTGGTAGCGAAGCTCAGAACAGTGTGAATAATATGAGTTCCATCTATCAGGATCAGAGAGTTCAACCGTGTCACCTTAGTTCATCAATTTATTATGGGGGCCAGGACATCTGTCCTAGTCCTCAGAGTACCCATAATGAGGGGTTCAACACTTTGGTGAGTTGCAGTATACTTATTTATTATTTATTGTTATTTTTGTTCTTGTAGTAGAGGGGTGTGCCTCTCTTGGTCACAGGTTCAGATTCTGGAAATGGTCTCTCCACCTAGTTTGCATTCCCGCCCTGAACTCAGTGGGAATATTATCAATTGGGTCTGCCAATTTATAATATCTATTCATACTAATGTGTGTATGTACTTGTACACACCATTCACTGAACTTATGCTCTAATTCATGCTAATCCCTATAAAGTATAATTCTAAATTTTACAGCCAAAGTTTCTACAAACCCGAAAATGGTCTCTGTAATGAATAGGAGTGTATCTTATTTTGGCAGCTTAAGATCATGATGCAACTTATACAACCTATCTAGATTATATGATTCAAAATATTCAGATGATTATGACTGATAGATGATCATGATGTCAATATACCAATCCCGTGAGAAATATTGAATTATATACTCCTGTTCTATTTTGTAGATAATTATTTTCTAGTACCAAGAATTTTTAATATAACCTTTTGTTTAGCCGTACCAGAATGATGCCGGAGATGATGAGTCAGAACTTGCTTCAAGAGGAAACTGGTGGCAAGGTATGTTATGACATCTTGTCTGAAAATATTCATATGAATTGTACAGGTCTATCAACACTCATTCTTTTGCTGTCTTAACTTTCTATGCACAGGGTCTCTCTATTATTAAGATCACCCTTACCAAGGCATGGGCTGCCCAAGGTATAGATTTTCTTCCGGAACCAATAGTCAAATGTCATTCTTAAATATCCGATAGTGTTTCCTCCGTTTTTATGTTTAGATTAAGTCTTTGGAAAAACAAAGAAGAGGATTGTTCTGAAGGGTTTGATATATCTTATGAATTCATGAACCACTGCATAGCCTCTTCACCAACGCACAAGTTCCCAAGAGTACAGAGGGGAATAGGGGAAGCGGACGGACAATGAAACGTAGATAATAATATCTATTAGCTGCCTAATTTCATAACAATATAAAAAATTGAAATAGACTGAGAACAGTTCATCATGTTAAGATTCTTATCTATTTCTGAAGTCATACATATAATTATGTATACATCTGTTCTTTCTTTCTAGTATTTTAGTCATATTTCCTGTTCAAGCATTTTTCATTAATCAATTAACGCATATTGCAGGTACATAGCAGCATATTTAGCAGTGTAGTCCATCATTTGTTATATGGAAGAGCTATACAGTAGTGTTACGGACAACAATTGGCTTTCTTTGGCTTTGACAGAATCATCACATGAATCTATTATCATGTATGTTTCTTTTTTCTTTTACTGTAAAGGACGTTATGCTATGTCATCCTGTTGGAAAAAGTTATATAGGAATTGTTAGCATCATCAGCTACTATTGTGTGGCTGAACCTCTACACAATTATTTGCTTCAATGGAAGAAGCTCTTTACTTGCATCACGTCTGTGTTAGTACTTCAGTTATGATTGTAGATAAATATGCCTGACACAGTTTGATCTTATTATTTGTCTAGATTAGATTTTACTAAGATTCTTATCTAACCAAAAGATAGAAACTAAAGTATGTTTGGTAGTTTATTAATCAATAGATATAATTTCAACTGAAAAATAATCTTTTTGACTTTAAATAAGATTTTAGAGTTTATAATTAAAAGCTAGCTGCTTATTTTAGCTAATTCTACTTTTCTATTTTCTTACTAAGAACTTACCCAAAATATACAACCATCTATGATTTTATATCCTGTTTTGTAGTTTTGCTATAAAGGAATAGTTCTTTATGACAGTCCAGTCTAAACATAATAAATAATTAAACTATTTTCAATTGACATGTTCTAATGAGATACTTATTTCGTGTCATGAAATATTGCAAGGATCTTTTTTCTTAAAGCTAATCCAAACGGAAACGATTCACCTTAATTGGAGATTATGTGTCAGGTTCTTAGCCTTTTCCTCATTTGTATGGTTTGGCATTGGTAAACAATTTGAGCACCTGTTACCATGTCTTCGAAATATAGTTACCATGCTGACTGCACTTGTATAGTTATTAAGCTACATGATTGGGTCAAAAAGTCTAGTAGAGTAATTACCACTAAGTACAAATGTCTATGATTTCTGTTGGGTAATAGCTCTCTAAACAAGGCTCTAAGAACAGTTACATGTTATCAGTGTCTTACTAGGTTCTTTCTGTTCTATCATTCTTGTTCAAGGAAAATAGGTTGTACATGATTTGTTGTCTTTTCATCATTGCTACAGAACATTCTTTAAAGTAATTTGATATGCAGAACAACTTTTGGAGCGAACTTGATAACCGCGTTTTGAAACTTGTTCATCATCACTCATCAATGGTTTACATCTTAAGGGTCACTATTTCTGCAGAGTGACGTGAATAGATGTTACCGTAACTGGAACAATCCAAAAATATTCCATAAATGCTTTTAGTTGCACAAGAAAAGCAACTCACATTACACATCAATCAAATGAACTCTTTACCACACATCTCCATATCCCTCTTTCCTTCTCATCCATCAATTTAAACGCCTTTCGCATGTGCATAAAACATGCATTCACGAATCACGCAAAGAACATAAGAAGGACAAACCACAGACAGGTTCGTGAACCATCTTGGAACCAAAGAAAGAAAGTCAATTGAGATTCTGTGATTCAGTGCTAACTGCTTTCAAAGATTGTGGCCTAGCAAGAATAATAATTCACAGACCTGTCAAAAACCTAGTTAACCAACTAGTCTATTGAGCTTCTTATCTTTTTAGTTCATAAAGATTCTAGTCTCAGCATATATATTCAAAATCTGACTCATCTCCTTCTTCACCTATCCTTATCCTTATCCATCAACAATGGGACAAACAAAGCCTTTGGGCTCTTTGCTGCTTTGTCTGCTCTTTTGGTCCTTTATATGTTACCTGTCTCTTGTTATTCAAGATTTTTTCTTTCCTTCTCTTTTCCTTTCTTTTTATCTATAATGTTGTTGGTTCTTGACAAAGAGTCAAACATACCACCAGTCATCCTTGTTTCACTATTAGATTTGATTGATGAGTTTTTTTACAAACATTTAAGATGAAAAAATATGAATAAAATATAATGCAAATCTTTAACAATTTTCAAAATAGAAGCAATAATCTTAAGAATAAATTTGATTGATTTGGTTCCTGATAAACTAGCTGTCAAACACTCACTTGATTTGAAGTGAATTTCATCAATAGCGTATTAAGGTTCCCTTATGATAAATATATTTTTATTCTTTCAATTTAATATCTGTTTTCTCATCTTAGAAGAGTTCCTTTAGAGGAAAAGAAATATATTAATACAGTAAACAAGTTTATAAACATTAAACGTTACAAGTGCAGATTTTATTCAGCAAGAAGACTAGAGTGCTGCTAGCCATTATTGATCAGAATGTTACATGGAGAATGAAACGTAGTTTTTCAGTCACAGTTTTTAGTTAACACCATGCTCCAGTCCCTCCCTGTTTTCAGTACAAACTTAAGGCAGAGTGTAAGCTGCAAAAATCAGAAAATATTTTTTAGAGATGGACCCTAGTTAGATAAAGAAAAGGACTATAAAAACCGTAATAAAGTATATAGACAGATATATAGAGATATAAATAGATGCGTTATTATATATATTTTGGGTGTTTTTGAAATAAAGTTCATAATTCATGAAAATCTTATTTTGACTAAAAACAATATAAATATACTTATTATTGTTCTAACCAAAAGTGCCTTTTACAAGTCCTAATTATTTGTTTTGTTATTATCTTGATTTTAATCAATATTATCTATCCCTTAAAATGTTCCTTTGATTATGAGATTTCGAATAGTTTTACTGAATCCCTTTATTAGTGATTAGTAGACCTTTAACTTACTTTATAGACTAGTTACATGCCTTTTTTAATAAAAAGATTATATTAACTATCCATACACAAACCCTACTATGGAGCCCAAAGACATAGAAACTTAAATAAACTATCAAGTTACATCTTAGTGATACAACACTTATAAAACATGCAACCAAGTTTTGTTCTAGTTTTATTCATAGTAAATTGTAAAGGTAAACGTCTTATCCTTTTACTGTTTTCCTTAAGAGTATTCAAACAAATCCCAAAACAAGAGAAGATGTGAAATATACTTACGTCCACACTTGTAACCAACAGGGCGATTAGGAAGGTTGCAGCGTTTTGGGATGGTTATGGCAACCTTAGGGTCAGCTCCAGATAACTTGGCTGTGTTGGAAAGCATAACAGCACACAGACAACTAGGGTTCTTGCCAAGTTTCTGGACCTGAGCACAGCAACTCTGAGAAACTTTAGCATTTTCATCTTGTGCTGCAGAGGCACAAGGAATAAGCTTCAGTGCTTCATTATCTGGAGTAGTAGACCTCCCACATTCCCCTGCACCCTCCACTCTATGAATCTCTGAAATGCTTACAAAGACTAGAACGCAAAGAAGGCAAAAACCCTTTTTGTAATCTTCCATTTTCCTCAATCAGTGTGACAACAACACCTTGCTCATTATGGCATTTTATAGCCCAACAAGCACCCACAGGTGCTTTGTCCAGTCACTCATGTTGTGTTAATGGTATTAGCACTAGGCAAAAGTGAGTGCCTTGTTGCGAACTTTGGTATATAAAACAACGATATCTGGAACGTACTAATCACAGATTATCATATAAACAGTTGTAAAATAATTGTCAAAAATATATTTTTCTTAGAACAGAAGGAAAAAGTGACATATCATATATATGTTAATAACTTTTTTTAATAATCTTTTGAAAATAGATTATGGGTCAGCATTTTATTGGTCTATATATTTGAAACGGATTAATCATGTCACGTAAGCGGTTGTAAAAAAAATGTCAAACATTTTCCATATATTAAGGTTCCTTTTCTAGTTTTTTGTCCGATCAAGGTAGGTGGTGTGTAATTAATCCCATTTTATTGTTTGTGTGATTAGACGGTGCATCTCGCATTCTAATTTCGTTTGATAGTTTCATCTATTTATATATTATAACGTGGTTTGTATTAACTATTATATTATTATTTAACCATATCATATTTGAATAGGATGACACCTCAACAATTATTGTTACTAAATACTTTTTACTTTCATGATAACTATAATTAAGAAACATATTATTATTAATATTAACATAAAATGTCTCCATTTTATTGAAATATCAAATATTTATATATTTATAACGATGTTATTTTTGAGTGATATCTTTAATATAAAAATAATGAAGTTTTTCATATATTTTTTTAGTTTAATCAGTGTTTAAAAAATATTATTTTATTTTCTAAAATTTTTTAATATTTTTTTAATTTATTGAATGTTTAAAAAATTTTACTTTATTTTCTTAAAATGTATATATTAGATTATATTAATTTTGTTGAAGTAGACATCTATATTATTGAACTTTTTCTTCACATAAAAAATGTAAATTTCAAGAGATTTTAAGTCAATGGAAATATTTTTTATACATTTTCCAAAAAAAAAAATGTTTTGATTATAATTTTTTGTTTTAGATTTAAAAGGATTTATAACATACAAACCATATATAAAATTTGAAAGCATTTTATAAATTTACTAGATTTTAAAGGATTTCTCATATTTAGAAAAGAACGCATAAGTACCCAATACTTTCACCTTTTTGTATGAGGAAGTGCATGTGTTGGGCGTTAACACTTTTACTAGGCACCACTCCTATCCTTAATGCTACCAAGTCTTGATGTGATGGGAACTTGACATGTTTCTCCTTAGATCACATCATCTAGGGTTTCTTGGCCTATGCCCTCACCATTATAATTTTAAGCTTGATATTGAGTATTGATATGCTGACAAAATTATCATACATACCTCTTTTTTTGAGCTCACCTTATAATTGTTTTCTCTCTATCATACTCTAGTTTTCTTTCCTTGGAATTAGCCTCACCTCTCGTAGGATTTCTCAACTATAGTTGAACTAAAATAGTTCTCCTTTTCATCATTCATAGCTTCTGCAACCTCTATCCATCCATGGAGACTCCATCCCCTAAGCAAGTCTTCAAGGAGCTAGAAGGAAGGTCATCAATAGAGTCTTATGAAAATTACCAGTTTTACGTGGACATAAAGATGTTCAACATAAATCGATTTATTTTATTTACTACAATGTCACTACATTTTTTTTATGTTAGCTTCCTCCCTGAAAAACATAAATTAGGTGACGTTATATGCCTATTTTTATGTTCATGCTTTGATGAATTAAATTGAAATTTTAACTAGTTTAAATAATTTAACATTCATTACAATTAATTTAAATTAATCATTTAAAATCAGTTTGAAAATAAGAGATACATAATCAAGCATTACATTACACAAACTCAAAGTCTAAGGATTACAATTTAACTAGCATAAATATGCATAAAAACCTCATAATATTTTTATCAAAACTTCAACATGGCCCATCTATTTAAAGAGTTTTAAAACATCAAATTAACTCTTCAAGTTCAATAATGCTTTTGCATTATTGAGGGTGAAAGAATGAGAAACATTACAATATTTAAAACTTGAAAAAGTAATTACCCACTAACATTTTTATCCTAATTTTAATTCACTACTCCAAATCATAATTAAAAAATTAACTAAATTCTAAAAATAAGGAACAAACTTTGACTCAATTAAATTAAAAATAAAACACTCCTAAAGCATTTTCACTCCTCCTTGCTTTAGGAGCTGCAAAAGTCCACGAAGGGTCAACTTTGCTACATCATCAATATAAACTTCCATTGATCTTGCATAAATTTTTTTCATAAATATTTTGCAGATAAAACTCATTTCTTTACTAAGTGTAGCTGAAAACATCATCACTTGTTTATTATGAGGAGTCAATTTGAAAATCTCTTGGACGTCTCTTCTCATATTAAGTGATTCAAGCATCTTGTCACACTCATCAAGTATGAAATGTCTCATGTTCTTTAAACCAAGGTCCTTATCTCTAGCCAGAGCAAGAATCCTCTTAGGTGTTCCAACAACAATATGAGGACATTCATTCTTGAGCAATTCTTTGTGAACCTTGATATTGCTACCACCATAGAAAACAACAACCTTTATATCAAGAAGATATGTGCTGAATCTCTCAAATTCATTGCAAATTTGATAAGCCAGTTCTCTTGTGTGGCAAAGAACAAAAGCTGCAACTTGACCAGGAACATGATCAACTTGATAAAGTGTAGAAAGAATAAAAGCAACAGTCTTTCCCATCCCAGATTTAGCTTGACAAATCACATCCATTCCAAGAATAGAAGGGGCAACAAATACATCACTTTGAAGGGGCATGTCCTTAGCCCTATCGACCTTCCTGATGAAAGAATTTGTTTTGCCTGCGTGGAAAACCACAACCACATTGAGAAGGATCAAAACCAATGTTGTAGCCATTACTGCAAAACAAGAGAAACTCTTTGCACCCAACATATGATGAGGATGTCTTAGCCTCTTGTGCCAGATTCCTGTCACTTTTTCCTTGAGTGAGAAAACAACTTGCTCCTCCTCCAATGGTTTTAGAGCAAAGCTTTTCCCTTTCATTTTTATCTTGAACATATCTTGATCAGTTGCATATTTAATCAAGCAATTTTTGTCTTCAAAAACAACTTTAAATTCTCTTTTAATCAATTAACCAACACTTAACAAATTTTGGTGAAATTCAAGAACGAAAAGAACATTTGGAATAGTTTTGTGCCTGCATAACTTGTAAGGGCAACTGTCCCCTTTCCTTTGATTGAGATATAATCACCATTGCCTATTTTGACTTTAGTGACATCAGTTGGCCTCATATCTCTAAAGAGTACCTTGTCAAAGGTCATGTGGTTAGTACAACCACTATCAATTAGCCAAGATTCGCTTGAAGCATTGGTTGAAAAACAAGTTGCAACAAAAGGTTGATCGTCCTCCTCTTCATTTTCAATTTGAGCATCTTTTTCCTGCTACTAAGTTTGGTTCTTACATATGACAGCTTCATGCCCAAGTTGATTGCACTTGGTGCATTTAGTGTCAGGCCTTCTCCATCACTTGAATGGAGGATGACCCATCTTGTTGCAATGCTTGTAAGGAGGATATTTTCCCTTCAAGCTTCCTGCTTTGCTTTCATTTTTGACAACACCTTCTCTATCTGGTTGTTGGTTCATTTTTTTGTTTTTCCAATTGTCTTCATGTTTAGCAAGCAAGGCTTCCTCAAGAAAGCCTTCTTCTCACATAACCCTTCGTTGTTCTTGTGCCGACAAGGAATTCAACAACTCTGCCAAGGTGATCTTGGCTAGATCCTTAGCGTTTTCTAATGTGGTTATGGTAGCTTCAAATCTTTCAGGTACGATAACCAGAATTTTTTCAACAATATGAGAGTCCTTAAATTCTGAACCAAGCAATCTTACTCTGTTTGCTATGTTTCAGAAGCATCTCATAGTACTCCTTGATAGTTTTAGATTCCTTCATCTTCTACAATTCAAAGTCTCTAATGAGATTCAAGACATGCATGCCTTTGATTCGATCATCTCCATCATATTCTTCTTTGAGATAATCCCATATGGCTTTAAGCTGACTTTAAAGACATGATTCAAGTGAAAATTGTTGGTGAAAGTGCAGCAAAGAGGCACATCTTTGCTTTAGCTTTTCTAGTTTTTCCATCCTTGTGATTCTTGATTTAAGCCATCGTTGGATTGTCAGGTAGAACAGGAATTTCATAATCCTCTTCAACTGCCTCCCATATATCCAGAGCTTCTAGGTAGGCATTCGTACCGCTCAAATTTGATAATTTTCACCATTGAAGAATTATGGTGTTACTATTGAAAAACTTGAATCCCCTTCCATGCTTTCAAATTTTTCTCTCATAGATATCTCGAGAAGAAGACTTTTGATACCAATTGTTTGTTTTTAGAATCAAAATAGTAGCATTCTTGAAGCTAAAATGCTCATGTATAATTGATTGTGAAATAATAAGAAATATTACAATCTCGAAAAAGTAATTATCTACTAACACTTTTATCTTAGTTTTAATTCACTACTCCAATCCATAATTAAAAAATTAACTAAATCCTTTTAACATACTTTAACTCAATTAAATTAAAAATAAAACATTCATTTTCTTAACATCAACATATATAGATGTATAAAAATTCACATTCTAAAATCGATTTTAATATTTGAAACCAGGAACCACATCACATGACGAGGCTACACGGAGTTCCCACTGTGTTTACGTCATCATCTGTGATGCAAACTGAATCAATGTCCCTACAAATACAGTCTGCAAATTAAAACCTTTGTAGGCCTTCTACGTTTTTTTACATATATGCAATGGACAAGAAAAGCATTGATAAGAATATTATTTGGAATACACTGATAATAGAGAAATTTTTTACTGTCAACTAATGAACTATCATATTATTAGAAAATATTAACTTTTATTTAACGACTTTAAGTCTCGTACTTAAAAATGTTATCAAATTTGTTGACAATATAAATTTTCTTGTGGTGTATCAAAACTAAACTCGCTGATATCGGTCAATTAAGATCCTTTCCCTCTAGCCATGCCCGGTCCAATTTAGCATCTTCTGTGCAATCACTTGACTCCATTTCTGTTTCAAATGCTGGCACTTCATCAAATGTTTTTAATCTTGGAACAAACATCTCCGTTGGACAGAAGACATAGTTCTTTTCTTTCATCTCAATGCTACCAAATTCAGTTAAAACTTTACTAACACCTACTCCTCTTTGGGGAAGGTTGCATCTGTTGATGAACGATGATTTGGCTCCCTTTGCAGGGCTAACACATCGTGCAGGAGAAAAGCTTTGTTTGTCAAAACATGGTTTTTGGCCTTGCCTCGAGCATGGAACTGAAATGCTCTTGTGTGCAATTACACCAACTTTTGAGAGAAGTGAGAATGAATCGGAATGTTTAGTCAAGTCATCAACATAGATCACATCATCGATGCGTGCAACAATGTTAGATGCTAAACTCTCGAGTACTCGTGAGTAGCTCTCCAGAATGGATTTCCCAACATCCTAGAAAACAGACAAATTCCACTCAACGAATAAGAAGAGACTTAAGGCATTTTTTACCACAATTTAAATCCCTGTGGAGGGACTAATAAAACAAGTCAAATACATTATTTTTATTAAATGTAGGAACTAAAAAGACTAAAAAAGAATATTCAAGACAGAAAAACTTGAAGAGGGAGAATGATAGGTAACTAGATACTAACCTTGTTGCATTGGATTTTGCTCGTATCTAAGGTTGTTTGAGGGAGACTGGGGAAACGTTGCTTCAAGGAGAGCAAAAAACTTTCTGCTTTTTCTGCAAGAGTTGCGCTCTTGTCTCCCTCGACAATCAGATCCCTGAAAATTTCCCACGATGATTTTGAATTATTTCTTGTAGTGCGACCAGTAGGCCTCGGGTTGGTCTTCAAACGCCAGATATAAATGGAAGCCTCTACTCTGTTGGCAATCTCTATGGCTTGATGTTCGGATGATAAATCAAGGCAAGCTAGCAAACACTCAGGAGAAAAACTGTCGGCTGTAATATATCTGTAAATGACATCCCCCAAGCTGGTTCTTGCAGTCTGAAAAAGAGGGTTGTATCAGAAATTTTAGTAGAAAGTTTGGAAGATTCGGAAAATTTTTCTCTTATTTAAAATAACACTCTTCAGAATTACAAGTACAGAAAGAGGTGATCTTTGAACACGAACTAGAAGATTGTCAAACTACTGATATACACTCACAACACTTAACATGTTAAAATTGTGATATAAGCTCGCACGTGATAAGTTTATTCAAAGGTGATAAATCAAACTGTTTAACCAAATGCGCAGAAGTCATTAGTATCTCATGATGCTTGAATAAATAGGGAATGAAAATCCACATTATACCTTGGGAAGAGACTCCAAGTAAGCATCGGGAATCTCCATTTCAGCTAAAGCAATGCTGTTAATGGCCATTGCAGCTTTTAATATCTGGTTTGTGCAATCCCTCTTGTGTTGTAACTGCTTTCTTGAAATTTCATGGAGACCACTAGGAGGGACTTGAGGTACAGGAAGCCACCACTTCTCCTCTAGTCGCTGAAGCGCTTGGCGAAAAGAAGATGAACCATCTGTATCAGGAACCACAACTCCTTGGTCCACATACCTAAACTCTGGATTCACAAAACTATCTAGTATTTCCTTTGAAAAAGAGAAAATGTTTAGAATGTGTTATTTCTAGAAAGTGGATTAATGTGCTATAAATGCTGTAAAATCTTACAAGAAGCATGTTATCTAATTTTCGTAGTGCTGGCAGATTGACATAAAGATCTGAGCGAGGTCTACAAGTCATGACCTATTAATCACATGTGAAAATAAACAGTCTTAACATCAAGAACTATATATATTCCTTATTTGGTAGAAAGGTTAATCAATCATACAAAAAGAAAAATGATGGATATAAATCTACTGCAAGAGCAGACTCCGGAACTATTGCATACAGCAGGCAATGCATGCTCATGATGACTATCTTAACGTTGAACATGAAGGGATTAGCACAATTTTAACACACACATGTAAATCTGATGTTAAACATTTGTAAAACAATCATGAACGTGTCCTTACTATAGATCAAGCTTATCATGTAGCAAACATTACTAAAGTTTTCAACTTCAATTTACAATGCTAAAAGTTCATGATTGTATCCAACTGACATTACAAAATTATAATTAATGACCATCGGACAATTCTTTCACTGAATTCTCTATGCTTTGTTAATATTTAAAAGTCTTGCACTTCAAATGCCGAATGAAAGTTATTTTAAAGAAGGAAAAAGAAACACATATTTATAAGTAATACATGCATCAAACAACTACATATAAATCTTAGTTTTTTGAGTTTGTGAAAGGAAAAGTTGATGGGATATAGAAAATGTGAAAATAGTAGAATATGAATGTAGTATATGGAAGAAGTGTATTTTGTAGTTGTCTTAATTGTGTTAGATGTTGTCTTACTTCCAGCGATAGTGCATATGAGTATTTATAAACTCCATTCCACATACATGATTATTCTAGAAACTTCTAGGTAGAACTTATGTAGAATGTTTAGGTTATCTACCATGTTGAATGTTTTTGATTTTTTCTTCCTATCTTAGGCTTTTCTACAATGTTCTAGAATTTTTAGGGTTAAATATGTTTTTAGTCCCTAAACTATTGGCCGTTTCTGGTTTTCGTCCCTCTTTCAAAGTAAGGTACAATTTGGTCCTCATTCTTTTTGAAACGTTCGTTTTAGTCCTCGAAAACTAAACACTGTTTAAAAATTTGGTCCTCATTTAGCAACAAATGAGGACTAAAACCAAATTTCCGAGGACTAAAACGAACGTTTTGAAAAGAATGAGGACCAAATTGTACCTTATTTTGAAAGAGGGACGAAAACCAGAAACGACCCAATAGTTTAGGGACTAAAAACATATTTAACCCGAATTTTTATTATACTTTAATACTCCTCCTTGATGCAAATTTGGTAACTCCAAGCATAACACGTAGTAGTTCAAACTTTGGTCTTAGTAACGTTTGTGAAAATATATACAATTTGAACTTCTTCCACCATTATTCTTGGGAAAACTGTCATCAACTTCTTGTTGAAGAGCAAATAAAGCCATTTAATTCTTTTGCTTGTTTTCCTTTAACTCCTTCTTTTGAGCTGCAATAAGAGTGCTGGTGTTTTTTGGAATGGTAAATCGCCCTTCTTTAATTTTCCATATATCTTGTGAGAAAAAGAATGTCTTCATTTTGACACTCTAAAAATCATAATTTTCTACTGTGAAAGTAGGTACTAGAATTGATGATGTTTGATTTGTAGTGACCATGGGTTGAGAAAATATTTTTTAAAGTAGTGTAGAATGGAGTTATGACTTTTTTTGTTGAAGTAGTTGAAAAAATTATTTACGTTCAGTAGATGACAGAATGTAACTCTGCATCATGATTAGTATTTTGAGGTTGTGAAATAAAAAGTTGATCAAATATAGAAAATGTGAAGATAGTAGAATGTGAAAGTAGTAGTTGAAAGAAGTGTATTTTGTATTGTCTTAGTTGTGTTGGATGTTATCTTACTTCAAATGAAAGTGCATGCGGTTATTTGTAGATCTCTACTCACTGATTATTCTAAAAATTCTATCAAAAACTTATATAGAATGTTCTAAGTTTTTTTATCTATACAGAATGTTCTTGATATTTTGTTCTATCTTAGACTTTATTAAAATGTTCTAAAATTTGTATTACATTTTGAATAATTCTATTTTGCACTTTTCTATATTGTTCCACAATTTGCATTAATAATAAATCAACATAAAAATTGTTTTTTAAGTATTATTTGTACCTCAACCTTTCTTCCATCAGGAAATGTTTGCCATGTAGGCTTCAATTCAACAATATGATCACTGACACAAAGAAGCCATTCCATCTCTCTTCGCCACATTGCTTTCCTTTCTGATGTCAAAGGTTCTAACTTCCAAAGTTGCCCAAAGAGGGTGGCTAGAAATTCAGAAAATGTTTGTTCTATCAGAACTTCAGATTGAAGATTGAAGCAAGAATTGCAGTTCTTAAAATTCACTTCAGCAACCTTAATCTAGAAACTGCTTCATGGATACATACCACATAGATTTGTGATGGCATTGGATATAGCCAACGCTGTAGGGACTCCATTACCCGAACCTGACATATCTTCTCCAAGTAACAGTTTTGCAAACCTCTCCTTCATCATTTCAAGCTCCAGCTCTGAGAAAAAAATCATATTAGAGAACATAATATGTTGATAACCTAAGCCAGGAGCCCCCATTGTAAAAATGAAACCTAAATTAAGAAAAGCCCAGCACTATAAAAAAAAAACACAAATGCCAATTTTCTTTTGAAAACTTTCTTAGGAAATACCTACAAATTTTGTCATCAATAATGATTTGTAAAAATTTCCTATCAATTTTTTTTTTAAAATAATTTTGCACAAAACATTTTCTGTAAAAAAAATTGTAAGAAATATTTGTAAATTTTATATTTTTGTAGGAAATAATTATCCACAAAGAATTATCTATCAATTAAAACTCTTAGAAAAAATAACAAAAAAGAAAATTCTTACAAAAATTTGTAACAAATTTGCATGAAAAATTCTAATAGTGCTAGCATTTAATGAAGTAGAACAACACAAAGTCTAGCATATGATTCCAAAGGCTTGAATTCCTGCTCTCTTTCGAGTAAGATAGATTCAATTTTTTCTCCATGGTTATTTGAGTATAAATGCTTTTCCTATGTTGACTTGCATACCACTAGTATGTTAACCAAAACAAAAGTTATGTATTATGTGCTTACATAAATTAAATTTGAATACCTGGTACTGGTAATACAGGATCCTGCTCCTCGGAAATGTCACTAGCGGTGTCCTTTATCTCTGCATCTTCACTTCCATGTGGACCGGTACAGCTGGATGCAGAGAGTTCTTGAACAGGCCACTCCATCGAAGTTGATGAAGTAGAACCATCATCACCACCTTGACTCTGACCATCAAGTTCTATCATCTCAGATGACAGCAACTCAGAGCAAGAACTGCTTTCTCCACCTTTATCTTTAACCAAATCAGCAATATTCTTATCATTGCAACTATTTTCCCATTTTGTGTATCCTTCAACACCATCACTCTTGTCAATAAAAACCTCACCTTTCATTGCTGCTTTCCCCTTTTCACAAAACAAAGGCCATACTAGAAAACAGTGCTGTTTGTTACCACACCAACGTGCAGAATACTTTTCAGACCCCTTTGAATGTTGTGAAAACTTAGAGGTGGTTGAGACACCAAGGACCTCAAAATGGATTGGGTTAGTGGGAATGATAAGGCACACCAATGGGACACATTGTTTCCGCTTCTGATAGTGCTGTTTGTTCTTGAGTTTATGCTCCTTGTTTGGTCCAAGAACCTTTCATAAGTTGTCAACAGTGTCTGATAGCGAAGGTATGGAGCATTTGTGGGATATGTCTGTTTGCTTAGTTATACTTGAGGGATGAAGGTGAAACCAATCATAATTAGTACTATATTGCTCAAATAATCATGTGAATCTCAGAGACACGTCAGAGGCTGTTCTTCACTCCATTTAATCTAAGAACCCCATGACTCCGTAATATTCCTGATTCAACATTATCAAGTAGTCAATAAAAAAGTTAAAACAATAAAACTCGTTTTTCATTTTGTATTGATCGCACTGTCGTTTTGTTAATTACAAAACTTTATAATTTTTAACATGCCGTGAATGGAACAATATAACAATCTTATAACCCAATTAATCAAAAAATTAAACAAAAATGATTTAATTAAAAATATAATATTTTTAAATATTTAATAGATAAAACAAAATTAATAAAGATTTCATTTATTGGAATTTGAAACTTAATATATAAAACTTATTTTATTTTTGTTCCCCTGTTTAAAATGGTTTGTCTTCGGATTTAATTGAAGAGTTGTTTTGAGTGTCATCTAGCACAAATAACCGACATTTGATCATGGCGTAAACGTTTTCTGACAGGGTTATCTAAAATAAACATATGCGTTTATTTCAGTTTTTAAATATAATACGTAGTTTAAACAATAAAGTCTTATTAAAATTAAATTATTTTAAAAAAATTTCAACAATTTCAATTAACTAATTTTACTAACGATTAGTGTGATGATCTGTTTGTAATTTTTTTAAACGTGTATTTTTAATAAAAAAAGTAAACTCCGTTTTATTTATCTAATTTGTTTTTGTTATAAGAATAAGTAATTTTCTGTTTATTTTAAGAAGTAAATCCTACATTTCTTTAAATAAGTGATATTGTCAATTGTTTGATGCAAAAAATACTGATTTTAACAAAACGAGTGCAATATCAGTCGAAAAAAACTATTGATCAAACTCATCATTCAAAACTCAAACATGAAATCTAATTTAAAATATCCAAATTCAGTTTTACTCAAACAATCATATACAATACTGGTGATTTTTCATAAGAATTAATAAATAATAATTATATTATTATATATTAGAAACTATTTTAATAAAACTAGAGAGACAAACTAAACAAACAAAACTATACGTAAAAAGACTTGCGCCATTTGTAAAAGGTCATCACTTCGAACTTAATGTTTCTCTTAATAAATGGTCGAATATTTAAATTTTAATAATATCATTTATTGCATAAAATAAATTATACTAAAAGGAAAATACAATATTGTATTGTTGATGAATATCTGCAGGAATTTTAAGATTTCATATGCATATTTTTTCAGACAAACAAAGCAAGAGAAGGTGTTTAAAAGGAAAACAGAAAGGAAGTGATTACTTTGAGATTAGAGGGTTGCAGTTGAGATCTGATAAATAAACTATAATAATTTCTGACTTACCTTAGAAGGCTGCTTATTCTCGAAATCAAAATTTTCTGCTTCATCATAATGCCGGTTGTTCCAACTTAACTTGAAGAGCCAAAAAGCTTCTACCAAAGACCAACACAACAACTAAGTTGGTATGGATTAAAAATTTGAGACACTAAAAAATTTGAGAAAAGTTTTGCTGCTCTATTCATTGTTTTGTTTCCTTATCATGCAATTAAGATAGACTCTAGTTGCTGTTGTTCTCAAATGAACTGAGATATTATCTGACGATGTTCATTTATTATCCTATTTTAAATATTTGTCTTTAATTCTATTAAATATTTAAGTTGACTTTCGTATCAACACAATTAATACGGTTAAAAAGTTAATATTAAAATTTAATACTATTTTTAATGAAAAACGTTAAACTTAATATAGGTGAAATTCATTTTAGTAAAAATAATAGTTATTATAACTAGTAAAAGGATTTTATTATAATAAGTTGAACGATGACATTTTTATATTACAAGTAACATTTATTATGGCAGGTAAAAGGAGATTTGTCATAATAATTAAAAATCAAAAAATTAACAAGACTAGTGAAATCCACGTGTATAGTAAGTTGGACGTTGTGACAAAATTGAAATTATGTTAAAAAATTATTATCACGTTTAAGAAGACCTGTCATAGTAAGACTTTATTATGATGGTTAGTTCACTGCCTGTTATAATATGCTTAATTCTTAATTTCACTCTTATTTCAAGTTATTCCACACATCCTCTTTGATTCTCATGACGCACATTCCCCCAAGTCGTTGCCTCCCCACACCATCGCCTCCCACACACCATTGAAAAAACATGTTGTCTTCTCCCATCATTCTTTACATTATCTACGTTCATTATTCACAACGATCTCTACATTCTCTGTTTCGGTTTGGACAATCAGGTTTTGTTTGTTTTCTCCACTTAGTTGTTTGATATGTTGTGTTTGAGATTGGTTGTTTGAACTTCAAAACAACAGTAACTACAACAGCCTCTGATGTGTCAAAAGTGTGAAGCTACACTCTAGTAACCTTTTTAGGGTTGCGAATTTCAGAAGCCCATTTCCCCATTGTCTTTATTGAACTCCACAATAATGTTTATTTCTTCATTTGAATCACAAAAGTGCTTTAGTTAGGCAGATAATTTTTGTTTGGTCCACGATAAAGTTTTAAGAAAACACCAACTATAGCCACTCGAAGAAATTAAAGCACCAATGGAAAATATTGCTCATTAAAAATATTGCTCTGTTTGTCCCCACATTCAACATCATTATAACTATTTTGAGTTATAATGGAGGGTTGTTTTCTAGCAGTGTAATTGGAGCTAGTGTTTCATAAGGGTCAAAGAGAATGGTGAGCGAAGATTATTGGGTTGCACATTTGATTAGAAAACAATTGTATTCTTAACTAAATCTATAATTATTTTCAACTTCATTGGGTTTGTTGTTGGTTGAATTTCTTTTATCTTTGGGGCCTCTTAATACCATCATTGATCTATTTGCATCTGTAAAAGGAAATGATGTTAACTTTCTTCAAGCAAATTGAAGGAAACTCCATGTAGAAGGAATTATGGACGTGGAAGCAAGTGATGATGTAGGGTATGGTGTGTGGAAAGTGGTATGGAAGTGCATCTTGAAGAAGTTTGGGTCAATCATTAAGAAAAAAGGAAAGTAGAGTCAATAAGTGATGGCAAACTCTAGCCATGGCCTAACACATTCATGAAGACTTGGAGTCATCTAAGGAAGATGGGCCTAAACTCCTTCTCGTGGACCATCTTAAGCCATCATAAAGATTTAGTAGAGTGATAATAAATTTTGGGCCTTGTACTATGGGTCAAGTAGTCTAGATTTTATTTGGGTTTTGTATTATGGGTCAAGTAGTCTAGATTTTATTTGGGCTTTGTATTATGGGCCTAGTAGTGTATTTCAATATGGGCCTTGTATTTTGGGTGAAGTAGAATAGGATTTTGACTAACCAAGTCAACAAAGAGTCAAGACTTAATGCTGACTATGTTTGGACGTCCAAATGAGGGTATTGACCGGTCAACATTTTGGCTAAGGTTGGAGGACAGAGGAGCTCATTTTCGTCCAAGGCATGTGGATGCTTCCTATTGGAGAGTTTTCCTCCTATTTAGTGACCATATGTCATTCTAAGATTGAAGAGTTTTTTCATAGGTAGTGGCCACATGTCACTCTCTCATTTGAGAGGATTTTTGCCACTTGTTTTCCTCTTATTGAAGAGAATTTCTCCTTGCTCTCCAAGCTAACCAAGGTGACTCTTTTAGGTCTAAATTTTTTACCCTTTTTAAGACACCTTAGCCTATAAATAGAGGTACCTCTCCATGATGTAATCATATTTGAAATAGATTAAAGTTATGCTACCATTTTGTTCACTTATACTTTTGAAAGGTCATCCTAGGCTAAAGCAACCCAAGTGGCCTCCTCTAGCCACCTTTCTCCAAGAATTGACCCAATCTCTTTTAGAGAACCCTTGAACACTTCATCTTTCACCATATATCCATCCAAAACTATGACACCAACCACCATCCACCACACATTCGGCAATCCACACAAAAATCGTGGGCTCCATGACTATATGGCTTGGTTGCTTCGATATTTGGCTTGTCCTAGCTAGATCATCGCCATCATTTCGGATCAGAACCTTGGTTCTTCAAAGAGCTAAGTTTCTCGGTCTTGATCCTTGGTTATTTTCGTGTTGTTTATTGAATTTCCTTTTCTTGTCTTTTGTTTGTTTTTACTTGATCATATTTTTGTGCTTTATGGTTCTATGAACCATTCTATTTTCACCATTAGGTTTCCATTTTGTTCTTTGTTTATGTGTTTTAAAGATTTTTTTTGGTCTTTTCTTGATATATATTCGGTGCATCTTATGGCTTGAGTCATTTTAAGCTTTTAATCTTTAAATGTTTGTCTAGAGACATGTGTAGTTCTTTTCTTGTCATTTTTCTCTAGTAGTACTTTGAAAAATCTTAAAAAAAAAATATCTAACTCAAATTTTCCACTCTTAATCTTACCCAAATTGGCATTTCAGCCCTTTTTTTTATCTTATTTAAAATTGCATTGAGATCGATAAGTTTCCTTTAATTGCACTTTGGTCCCTCTTCTTTGACTAGCCTTGAACAGGGTTGACTATTTGACCAATTTTGTCCAAATTATTAAGCTACCCAATGAGGGATTACCACGTGTCAGTTCCCTTCCCCATCTAAATTAGAGTTTTCAAATTCGGCATGAGAGATACTTACACCATCATGCGAGTTGGGAGAAAGGTGCTTGTTCCCGGAAGCTGCTCAAGAATGCGAGATGCTTTGGG